AGGATATTTATGCAACAATACATATGGTAACTCTGAGATATCCTCATAAAACCTGGTAAGATTTTGTTAAAGTTTATAAGTATCTTGTACACAAAGAATTACATTATTTTAATTGCATCTTTCTAATGAAAATATTATTTATCTATTGTGGTTATTTGCACACAAACTGTGAATAGTTTGAGTGCAAAGTGATTTTCATGTTAGATATAAAAATACTTTTTCATCTTATAGTTTTCATATTTTATTTGTATAACCTCTAAAACCTCCTAAATTAATATCAGAAGCTTTTTTAAGGTAAATGTTTATATTTTATTTTTCATCTTCTCTACCACATCACTAATTCTAGCAATGAAATGATTACAATTAGGAAATGAAAACTTACATACCTTTTAAGTTTTTGTAGAATATCTATAAAGATGTTCTTGGTTATATTCATAATTTCAGATTTTTTCCTTTTCACATGGTTAATTTTTAATGTTTTATTTTCCTTTCTTGTCGTTTACTATCTTGTATGATGTAAATATTTTTAAAATATTGAAACCTTTCAGTTATACATTTTAAAACATAAATTAACTAAAATATAAAATTAAGACCTAAATACAATTTAACTGTATCTCTAACTGTAACATTTAGGTAAGAAACAACTGTAAGTGATTTAGTCAATCAAGCAGCCAACAATACTACAGGCAGTCACATGTACACCGTGATGAAAACTGCACCCCAATTTCAAAGTAACCATTGTTGGATTATGGTATAAAATGAGCTCTGTCTAATGACAATATACAATTGCAAGTAACCTGTACATGTAGGTTATAAAGCTCAAACAAATCTATTGGAGGTGTGTGAGTCATCAGTCAGGGGTTGACAAAATTTATTACTTTTTCAACTGCATTCATCCAGAGAACTTTGAAATTTATATGTCAGTAGGTTAAATAAATGTCATATTGTCTAGCATTATATTATTGAAGATACAGAGTACCAAAGTAGAGAATTTTCATAGCTTGTAGGTGATGCGGTAATACATCTAAAGTTTTAAGTAGTTTTTTGAAATAAAGGACCTAACACTTAGATAACATAAAACTTAAAATCATAATGTACATTATAATTTCATTCACATATATTGATAGTAAAGGTGTTCAAAGTGGTACCTGGTGCGAAGGGGTTAATTAAGTGGAAACTACCACAATCAAATTATCAGTATTAATCTAGAGTTAATTTATATATAGACACTTTGTATATGTCATGTATATTTTTGTTCTTTTTAGGTTACAAAAGTGATTATCAGTAAGGGCTGGAGATGCTTAGATTGTACAGTGTGTGAAGGTTGTGGAAAACCACATGATGAGGGACGTCTTCTTTTGTGTGATGAATGTGATATAAGCTACCATACATACTGTTTGGATCCACCATTGAAAGATGTGCCTCAAGGGAATTGGAAATGTAATTGGTAAGTAGGTGTATGTGATATAAAAATATTAAAGGTCAATATATACTTGTTTAGTGAAGTGTTTTGGACCATGAATAGATATAGTGTTGTGTAAAATATGTTGAAGCATCAGCACATGAAGACTAATGTGCTTCAAATTTTTCATTATTCTTAGGTGTGTAGTCTGTTTAGAGTGTGGCTCTCGAAACCCAGGATATGGAGCTTTATGGCAAAACAATTATACTCGCTGTGGGCCATGTGCTAGTAAAGTGACATGCCCAGTTTGCCACATTAGCTACCAAGAAAACGAATTAATAATCCAGTGTATTCAGTGTCATCGGTAAGTATAATTTTTATTACAAAGCAGCTAAATTATTAGTTTCTGAACTAATTTCAAACTGCAATGGTAAATTTAATCTGTTTTTCAAAAAGTACTGTTCTGACTTTATGTAGTAAGACTAAATATTTTTGTAAGTTGATGTGGTGCTGCTATTATATATTTTTGGCTTATACGAGAGAAATTCTGCTTTCAAAGGCTGAATTAAACCTTTCAAAACTTTTTTTTTTTTGTGATAGCAAACAACAGTTCTCAAAATCAATAATGTACACCTGAATATATTTTGCATAAAAGAAATGCTTGTTTCAGTATACATTCTTTATACATATTTTGAAATAATCTAATGATCCCTCAAACAATCTCAAAGATTAAATGTATTGATTCTAAGATGTTAACTTGTTTAATTATTTGGTAGCACCAAACACATAACAATTCTGTAAGATGTGTTATGTTGATAAGTATGGTAGCTCTTTACTCAGTATGAAAAAAGTATTTTTTACTACATATTCCTTTTGGGGAATAAGGCTTTTATTGGTATAAAATTGGTTGTGTGTAGATCATTTACCAATGTGTATATTGTTAGTAGAGCATCTCCATTTGTGGTCTGTCTGTCTCACTTAATTTATTGCTTGCAGGAGACATTTTTGATATGAACAGTTTTTCAGTAGGTGAACAACCAGATGACTTGGTTATATTAATGTAATATTGACTAATGTGTTAAGTTGGGAAGTTTACAGCACTAATCACAGTACTGATATATTACTATTCTTAGAAAGGCTTTTAATACTCATATTACATCTGTAATTTTCTGATATTTTGGACACAATTATGTGAAGTAACATACATGTATTTACTAAGTTAACCCATTTATTAGTTATATTAATGTAATATTGACTAATGTGTTAAGTTGGGAAGTTCGCAGAACTAATCAGAGTACTGATATATTATTATTCTTAGAAAGGCTTTTAATATTCATATTACATCTGTAATTTTCTGATATTTTGGACACAATTATGTGAAGTAACATACATGTATTTACTAAGTTAACCCATTTATTAGTTATATTAATGTAATATTGACTAATGTGTTAAGTTGGGAAGTTTACAGAACTAATCAGAGTACTGATATATTATTATTCTTAGAAAGGCTTTTAATATTCGGTTCAAGAGATTATGTAAAATGAGAAGAAGTATTTTTATTCTTAGTGTGAAAATCAATCACCTTTCACAGTCTCACTCCCTAAAGGCTTTGGAAATTTATGAAATTCAGAGACAAATCTTTAGAAAGAATATTTTATAAAATAAAAAAAGTTTTGAAGTATAACAGACTTGTAATGTTTGCTAAAAGCATGCCAAATTTTGTGAAGATACAACTAGTAAATTCAGAATTATAGTAAACATTGTTATATAAACTTTTAAATACAGGATTTATCCAACGGACCAAACTGCTCTTAAAGTGTTTATAATTCACAGAAGCAAGCAAGAAGATCAAACATTTATTGAATATTTATGGATTACATGAATAAAATAATTAAGCATTTTCAGAAAGAAATTTAAAAACCACATAATACCACACGTTTCCAGTTAGATTGTTTGTTTGTTTGTTTTTGAATTTCGCACAAAGCAACACGAGGGCTATCTGCGCTAGCCGTCCCTAATTTAGCAGTGTAAGACTAGAGGGAAGGCAGCTAGTCATCACCACCCACCGCCAACTCTTGGGCTACTCTTTTCCCAATGAACAGTGGGATTGACTGTCACATTATAACGCCCCCACGGCTGAAAGGGCGAGCATGTTTGGTGTGACGGGGATTCGAACCCGCGACCCTCAGATTACGAGTTGAGTGCCCTAACCACCTGGCCATGCCGGACCATTACCACTCCTGTGGTCCAAAATCTGACAATAAAACCATAAAATTTAAAGGAAACAGATAATAAACGGTTAATTGTTGAAACTGTTGAGATAAATTAATTTGGAAATTTCTGAAAAATTCTGCAATCACTGCAGAAGACAATATGGTATTATTGATTTTATTTCATGTTTTTCATCTTTTCATTTTGCTGTACATTTCTTATTTTGATGAAGAAAATACAATATAAAGTTTTTAATAAAAAAATCTTTCAATATTCATTTAGAACTTCTTCCTTCAAAAGCAGTAAATCACAGTGGGAGCTCATTAGCTATTGCTCATAGATCTAATGTAAATAGTGAGGTTTCATGTTACCAGGCTATGGAACTCCTGAAATTTTATACTTTATATTTTACTGAATTTTTGTTATCCTAGCTAAGAAGCTTCTAATTTTTTTCCATTTTAGTTTCGTTTGCTGAAAAATATACATTAAATGAAATGCATACATAAAAACAAGGATTTGTAATACTCACTTCTTCCTACAACTCATTTGCACTCGAGTAAAAACTGAAAAACTTCTTTCATAAGCCTTGTTGAGTCTCACAGATTTTTGTGTCTGAAAAAAAAAATCATGTAGCACTCAAATATGCATCTTAGACTGTAAAAAATATATCTCAACTAGAATGAAATACTCCCAAACAACTGTACTTTATCTGTCTTTCTAAACAAGCTATAAGTAGGTTAGAAAATTTTCATTAGATGTTTAGAGCAGAAATACGATATTCAAAGAAACTGTGACAAACTTTTATTCTCTGGAGGCCAAAAACAAATAGAAGAGTGTGTTCTACTTATTGGTTATAAACAAACACCAGTCATATAAAGTTGATTAGCAAACAATCTAGAGAGCCAGAGGGGGGGGGGGGGCATATTTGGCAGGTTTGTGAAATTAGTTGATATCTCAGCAAATAAAGTGAGAGATTCATATTTTATATTATTGCTTGTAATTATGTATAGTGTGTGTTCCTATTTGGTTGGAAACAGTAAAAGCTTATTACTAAAACTAGAAAATTCTGATGCCGATTATTAGCTCATAAATGTCACATGACAGAACAATGAAGATTGATAATTTTTTTATATTTCATTTGAAATTAAGAAGTTAAAACTTAGATAACATAAACAGGGTTCTTGCATTTCCTGGAAAACCTGAAAATTTGATAGCTAATGTCCCTGTCTGGAAAAATTTGTAGAAAACGGAGGAAAACATCAATGTCCTGGAAAAGGCATGGAAAACTGTAACTTCATGAAATGCATTATCTGACCTAATAACAGTTAAACATTTCAGTGAGCAAATAACTTAATTAGTATGTGGTTAAATAAATAAAATTTAAAAAATGAAAGTGTATGAAGTTGGGTTAGATATGAGGGGTGATACAAAGCTATAAAATGTTGTGGAAAATGACTGAAATGTCCTGAAACACATTATTTTCAACCATTGTGCAAACCATTATAAAAATTTGGATTATAAACTAAGTCTTGATACTAAATTTATTGACATACATGAATAAAAAAGTGGTTTAATTAAAATACGAATGTAACACTAAAAGGTGATGACGTGCACTTTGATAGTAGCAAAAGAGTTTAAAAAATTGAAACTGAAGTATTTTATTTGTTGAAATAAGTAATTTTTACTTCTTTGTGTCTTGTGACTAGCTGAGGTATATTAAGACCTGGATGATCATTGTTGACAGACTCTTAAAAAAAAAACACTAAACATTATTGTTTGTTCATTGAACAGTATAAATGTGTGATCTGTATGTGTATATAAATAAATGCTGGGAATTTATGTTATGTACAAAAGTTACTACATACAAAGAACTGATTAACTTGAACATACAGTATAACATTAGTGGGGCACAGTTTTTCATAAACACAACTTGCTCTTGTTTTTGAGATATGTGTGGCTTTATGTTCAAATTTTTATACATATTAAAATATTACTGTTTTTCAGAACATATGTTTGGTAGTCACCACTATTTTTTTTGTGTGTGTGTTGGCAATGTAAATGTTGTAGAGTTGAAACTTTTAAGGAATCATTTTTTAATACTATTGCTACTTGTAGTAAGTTTCATAATTTCAGTACTTTATTATTGTTATCTGTAAGTTCAAATATGATAATAGTTATATAGTTTTTATTGTACATTTTTCAACAAGTTTATAATTCATAAAATTTTATTTAATAACCTATAATGTTATGTATATTCAACTGTAATGTGTCTTGAGTTTTGTTTAATGCTGAAAATTTCTAAACCAAATGAATTTTAGTAATAGTTTCATATTATTTTTGTTTTAGCACCACCTCCTCCTCCAACACCTCCACAGCCACCACTACCAGAACTTCAGTGCTTGTCACCTTCTCCAAAGGTTGTCAAAGACCCAGGTATATTAATTTTAAATGAAACTAAAATATAAGATAATATAGATTTATTATCTAGAATGTGTTTAAAAAATTTAATTAAAGTGAGGTGGATGGAATATTTCACTTTACTGGAACTAGTGTTTTTGTTTTTTAATTTGTATGTAAAGATTTATTCTTTGGAATTTCCCTGCACTAATGCAACCTAAGTTTTCAGAATGTTAGAGCACGTGTTAATTATTCTTTTAATATTGAAATATTTTCTGTTATTTTATTTCTACACAACAGAACCAATTCCTCAACCTCCTCCCCCTAAACCTAAACCACAGGCTCAGTTCTATGTGGATGGAGTATTTCTGTCTGAAAGTGGAATGGATCAAATCAGGGCCTTAACCATTGAACAACCTAAAAAACAAAGAATGCGTAGGCCTAAACACCAAATAGGTGGACGACCATTTGTAATGGGAGAAGACAAAGATGTTGTTTCTAGTGGTAAATTTTCTTTTTTTTACAATTTATCTTTTATTTGTTTTTAAATCAACACTTGGTTATGTAATTCTGTGTTAGAAATTAACTGACATCTTTGTATTTGTGTAATATCAATCTCTGATTTTGTTTTATGTTATAAATTGTATGTCTATTGAAATAGTGATTCCAGAAAATGTCCCAACATTATAGCAGCACATCTAATTTAAATGACTGAAGAAAAGCCAGTTTATCATCAGTAAGAACCCAGAAGATCTTTGATATAATACCCACTAATCTGATTGCATAGAACATTAAAGAATATTTTGAAAATTAAATGGGTAACAATTAAAAAGAAAACAAAGGTTTGTTATAAGTGTATGAATGGAATAAATAAAAATTTGATAGAAATAGAAAATAATTTTTGCTTCTGAGTTAATGAATATACCTACAGGTTGAAATAAATACATTTCATTAATGTATATAAACCTTCAAGTATGATATCATTATTCATATTATTGTCATTGAATTTCCACAAATACCGTTTTATGCCACAAACGACCACCAGAGATCCGATACTTTGGGTCAGGGAATATTTATGAAGAGCTTTAAGTAAAATATTTGTGTTTGTATTCAAGTAAAATTGGAAGTGAGGCTGATTTCTCACTTTACATTGCACATAAAACTGTTTCTGCTTTCTATATTATGAACTTAAACATTAGAAATAAATTCAAAAGAGGTATTCCAAAAAATTATAAATATAGATAAAATGTATCTTACTTAGTCCTGTTTAAGAATATTTTATCATTCTTGCTAGATATTGCTGCAGATCTAGTAAGTATGGAAACAGATGTAAGAATGGAAGTTGATGATGGAGAAGATGGAATGAAGGGAGAAGCAACTGATGCTAACTTAGAGAAAAAGAGGCGACAAAGGAAGTTGCATAAACTTGGTAGGTTCTTAAACATTACTGATGGGTGAAGAATAAGAAAATATTAACTTGTATTGAAGAGTTGTTATATAAACAGTCACTAAAGGTATTTGGTTTTCTGTGTTTTTGTAATGTTTGAGGAAATTTTTTCTCTCTCTCTCATTCAACGCAGGCTCTGTCCCAAGGACCAACCTCATAACCATTTTGTGGTTGTTATAGTTTTCATGCTATAACTTTTAAGTTAGTAAGTGAATGTTAACGAAATTAGATGTTTATCTATTATCAGTAAACATTACAATGCTTTCATATGCAAATTATCAAATTTTTTTATTAAGTCTTAAGGTTTGTAAAGCAGTGTGTTTCGCATTCCTTTTTTTTTTTTTCGCATGTTGCCTACCTATCATGCAAAGTAATATTCATTTTAAGATTAAAAGTACCTTTATGCATCAGTAAATTTTGAAATTTCACATGCAAAGTCTTTATAATGTCCAAATAGTTATCAAATATTTCTTAAGAAAAATCTTTATATTTATCCATTATTTTCAGTAATTAATCTCTGTATGCGTTTGGTAAATTTGACTGATCTCACAACACCCATAAAAAATTAGGAAATAAATATAAATTATGCCTCTTATATTCTAGAATGAACACAGATTATAACACAAAAACATAAATGTTTGGACTAAGTAGCTTAAATCTCGTAACATTATACATTTATATATGTTTATTTTTATTATTATATTGATCTTTCAGCCGTGCCTGGCTAACAATACAGAAATTACAATGATGCAGCTCACATGCACTCATGCACAGTGGCACCCCGCTCACCTCTTTCCATTTTTGGAAATGCTCCCTTATATACATTTACTTCTATACATGACATGAATAACCAATTGGAAGCTCAGAATGTCCCCCTAGTGGCTCTCTTAGCCATTTTAACAGACTTGGCACCATTTCTTTCTTTTGAACGAATATTTCAATGAGGTAGGGGTGTGTCTTTAGTATGCTCGAAATTTCATTTTTTTAGAGTAAAATATATCTTAGTTACTAAGCTTAATAAATTAGTGGAATTCTATATTATTAATGTAGTGATTATATAAAAACTAAAAAAAATATTTTGTTTCATATCCTCCACGTGCAAATTTTTTAAAGGCTTAGCCACGTATATCAAGCAGCAATCAAATACAAAGGTCGTAACTAGAAGAGATAATTGGTTGCTTTACTTCTTTAGTTACTGTTCTATGTTTTAAGAAAAATAAGTTTAAGAACTTATTTCAAAACAGCAAAAATCTATACACATATAAAGTGTATAATAATTGAAATGTGACTTTATTTTACAAAATACTAGTCTACTAAAACACAGCCAAGACAAGTTATTATAATTCATATTTTAGTACTATATATTACTCAATTTCTTAATTCAAAAGCGAATATTAAAAACACAGATAAACATTGATTTTTGTGAATCATGTGGTATGTTGAATGCAACACTGGTTCAAATTAGATGTTTGTGAAGTCAAAATACTAAGTCTATAGTTTCGTACAAATTAGAAACTCAAATTACAGATATTGACAAGCTAGAATATAAAATCAAAAATCTCATCTTTTCAATTTGCTAAGATATTGTTCATGTAATAAATCAAATCTACAGTTTGATACCAAAGTTATTGACATAAATTCATGAAATAGTAGTTCAATGAAAATTTGAATGCGAATCAACAAACTAGATGACATGGCCTTTAACCCATGACCCATCTTGAAAGGGTTAATTCTATAAGTAACCACCTTTCTACTTTTGTATAGTAAGTACTCACATTTTTAACCTCCACAATTGAGGAATTGTGCACAGATGTCTGAAATTCAAACCATTAGGTACCCACCAATATTTTGATACCTTAAAATATATTAATGGATGCATATATAATCTCTTATGAATTATATGTATGTATATGTGCATATTTAAAGTTCTCATTTTTAATGATAATGAGAATTATTTAAGTCTTTGTGCTGTGTACAGTGTATTGCCATTATAGCTAAGAACTGACACTATCTTTTAATAATGTTGTTAGTTGTGTTTTGATACAAACATACTATTTTTAGGTGACCTTAATATTCAGTTCTGTTATTAATGTATGTACATGATGAATTGTTGGTCTGTTGGGCACGAGTAGCTTTGAATTTAAGGAACCTATGAATTAGTTGTCAAAAAAGTTTTTGTTCCATGCATCTCATTCTTTTGCACAAGCAAAAGTATAGAATATATGTGAACTATTATTCAGAAAAACATTAATTGTATACTTAGGTGTTATCAGCTAAAACTGAATTAATGAATTGTGTGAGATACAGAAACACTTTTTTAGAGTAAATAATATGAAAGTTTTACAACTGGTACTAACATCTCAAAAACTGGTAAAACAAATTGTTGGTGTACCTTCAAATATTATGATGGGGCGATTGCTCAAGAATATCCCAGTTGACTTAAAATGGGGTCTGTGAAACTGTATTAGTTTAAAAAAAAGTTGAACAATAAATGCCATTTTCATCACTAGAGCTCTATATCATAGTAATTTTTATTTTTTCATTGAGGTTTCTTAAGTTATATTAAGCATTTTGCCATTTAAGTAGAACTTGTTTCTTACTTAACTAGAAATATTTGATACTTTAAGTAATTCATATATGGGAAGAATATACATAGGTATACTTGTTACTTGAAATGGAATTATATATTTATGATGTGCATGGAGTTATGAAGTTATAGAATATAAGCATTAAAACAGTTTTTTCCACTATAATTTTCCACTCCAGGAATTGGTGGGTTTGTTGCTAGACCAAGAGCTAGAAGCCTTTCTACTAAAGAACAAGGAAATGAACAGACCACTGCTAGTATGGGTAAAAAATAACATTTTGATTGTTTTTAATAAATGGGGAAATATTATTCAGTACACCTTAAACATAAAGATTTTTATGATATCTAAAAAGTTTTCAGGGACTGACCAACCTGTATTATAATAACAATAAAAAACAGTTTTTCCACTCTTTATTGTAGATTAAGTATTACAGTGACTTGATACCCAGACAGAAGAAAATATTTTTGTAAATACGGATTTTATCTTGATTTCTATTAAGTACAGGGTGATTGTAAAGAAAGTTCAACAGTTCAGTGCATCATATCACAAACTATGGCATCAAAAAGATGAAATTGATGTAGGTGTTAACTCTGTGTTTGGGACCATCATTTTGGACAATCTTGTCTCTGCAAAGTAACTTAAATTTTTCCTACTATAACTCTGAATATACTAAATCTATCTTCGAGGAATTTGTCTGTGAATTTAATAGACTTTTACTGAGTCAGTCTGAGTGCAGGGTGATTTTTATGCTAAGAACAGAAATACTTCTTTTCATCTCAGAGTTTTCTTATTTCATTTGCATAAGCTATAAAACCTCCTAAATAAATATCAACATATTTTTGGTAAAACTGTACTTTGTTTTGTATTTTTGCCATGCTAATTCTTGTGCAGTTGTGTGTAGCTCAAGTTTAAAATATGTAATATATTTTTTTTTTCTAGAATGAATGCTGGCTATAATAGACAGTCAAAATTATTTATCCTAAACAGATTCAGACTCTTAACAGTTTCACATATGCCTAACCCCAGTTGCTCAGTAGTAAGTCTGCAGGCTCACACTGCTACAAACTGGGTTTTGATAATCATGGTGGGCACAGCACACATATTCTCTTGTGTAGCTTTGTGCTGAAAAACAACAAAAACACATCTGCTTTCATTTCGTTTTATTAGTTTATTGATCTTTGAACCACACCAAACTAGTGTAACAAAGCAATAAATCAAATAGTGAGAGCTTAGGGTAAACAAACGTTTGAATTGCATCAGTTGCATCAAGCGTGTGTGTTCTTCAAGGCGAATATTTTTTGTTTGATTTTTTTTTCAGTTAGGTTTTCTTATTAGCTAATAATTTTCTACTTTTTGCATTTTATTACTTCTGTTAAAAAATATATAACAATAAATAAAAAAATAGAAATAAAAAAAAAACTCAGCACTTATTTTAGCTTTGAGACCTTTTGCATTTTGGTACTTTGTTTAATAACCTTTTTCCTTTTTTTTTTTCACTTTGGTTGTTGTCAAAAAATAATTCCTTTAGATTTCAAATATGCATTTTAGAACATAATATATCAGGTAATAGAATAAAATGTTCCAAAACTGTTATAATTTATCTGGCTTTCTGATTAACCTGAAGATCTTGTAAGGAAAGAGAAAACCTATAAATCAGAATTCATATTGCCACTGTGCCGTGTGACTCAGAGAGAGATGCAGACTGAGAATTTATTTAAATATTCACTTTTAAAAGTAAGGAATTAAAACTTAGATATTTTAAACATTTGAATTATAAACTACATTTTGATGCAAAGTTTATGAACATACGTTTAAAATAAAGTAGTTTAAATTGATGTTAAATGTAACTATGAAAACGATCATGACATGAGCACTTGGGCCAACCTGGATTCATAGGGTTAATGGTATCAAGCAGATGCAAGTGCCACAGTTATCACAAGTTGCCACCAGGGGCTCTACTGTGGTTTCCTTAACATGTTTGCAATGAGAATAAATGGGCTTGTTGTTCAGAGTGTAGCTCTTTCAACTAACATGAACAACAGACGAGCTTTCAGAGAGATGAACTAGTGAAATGCTATTACACCAAAGAATGCAATATCAAGGCAGTTGTCAGGGAATACTGTACAGTGCATAACATCCACAGAGGGACTTATTTTAGGCTGCTCTTGTGATAAACCATGTACAAGTAGACCACTGACACCCTCTGAAATTATCATAGAGGTCAACCATGCCATACCAGAACAAGCCAGCACAAGTGCACATTGGTACAGCAATGCATATTATGCCACCAGAAGCCTGGATTTGCCAATTTCACTTGTTTGTAAGGCTCTTATGTCAGTTTTGAATGTTTTCTTACAAGCTGCATTATGTTCAAGCACTGAAGGGGATGGACTTAATCTCTTTTTTTTTTTATTCGTATTGCAGTTCTTGACAAGACTAAGTCAATGACCTAACAGTAATTTATGGACTGATGAAGCACACTTCACCCTTTCTGGAATCATCAACACCCAAAATTGCTCTATGTCTCCCTCTGAATGGTGCTTGTTGATCACACCCATTGTTATTGTCATGCTACAACAATGAAATGTAATACACTAACATTTTCATGCAGAATGGTGCCTTTCTGGAACTTAGCAGTCTGCTGAAACATATCTTAAGGAGCATTTTTTGTTTGGATGGCCACCTCATTCACAAGACCTAACACTAGCCAATTTCTAGATGTAGGATTACCTGAAGTCAAGGGTTTACCATGGGAAGCCTCACGTAATTTGAGACTTCAAGGATGCTAGTGTAACAGATAAGAGTGAATTATTGCTCTAATGTCCATTGTCACATGGCTGCAGTGCATTCTGGATGCTGGGACAAGAACATTTTGAATGGTTGTTGTGATTGATCAAACATTAGGCTATAGTGGTGCAATTGGTGGTAATGTGTGACAGCTATGGCTTTTGAACCTTCACCATACACTTTGTACCACTGTGTAATTTCACCTTTCTATGTTATATCACTTGTGAAATATGACATGCTGAACCGTGAAATGTTCTTTATAATCACTTTGTATATTGTTGTATATTATTGCCAGCTAAAATTGTGTGTTGGTTTAAAGAATAAATATTTTTTATTTTTTGCATAATTACATGCCTTTTTTATGCTATACAGATCAAACAGATGGGATGGGTGTTGGAGATGTTCTGAAATCTGTTGTTGGAGAAGCCCATATTGAACAGCCAATCCAGGAGAAGCCAAAGCGAAGACGAAGAGTGAAGAAGAAAAACCCTCTTGAAGAATGTTTCCCGTCATACTTACAGGTAATTTATAGATATGAATAATTGGAGCTAAAATTGATTAAAAACATTTGCTATCCTAGGTGAATTCTTATTTATTGGTAACTTTTTTTTCATAAAAACTGGATTTAAGACTTGAGTCACTTTATATGTATCGAGTTAAAGAATAAAGATTTATTTTTTAACAAACAAGAACTATTTCCACAATATTTCACAGTGTGTATTTTTTATCACAGTTTTATCTTATGAAATAAAAAGAATTACCTATTTTTAATGGGTTAAGAGACTTGATAATGATTTTTATATAAAGAAGTGTAACCCCAAAAAGTGTTTTATGGTGTGATAGTTGTTTTTTGTTTTGAACCATTTTATATTAATCAATTACATATAATTTTAAAACTACATTATTTCTAAAATCTCCTCTAAGGAATAGCCAAAAAAAAGCAAAAAATTTTGATTATTAAAAGTTTGATTAGTATTGAATCTTATTTATTTAGCCAAATTGGTACATATAAACAGAGGTGATAACTTTTTTAAATCCATGAAACTAAAGGTTAAGTTTAGATATTAATTTCAAACTGGTGTATTTAAGTGTTTTACATTCACAAATAAATAGTTGTTTAAACACTGATGAGAAGTGGAATTCTCCAAAACTATTCTGGCTCACAGACACACACATACACCCCAATGAAAGAATAGACCATTCCAAGCTTTTACTT